CACAACGTGTATACAACTGCCTTTCAAAATGCAGCTGCAGATTACAGCTGAGGATACCCATTTCCAATTCCTCATATTCCTTGTATTTCACTGCCTAATCACAATCATTGAAATGTCATTTCAACATAGTCATCACCACTTGATCCCACCTCAACGTTCAGCATTGCCAGCTCATGGCACTGAAGCTGAAATAGCAGCTCTAAAGGTTAGTGTATGTATCTTCTCAATGTATTTCAGTTCCAGTGCATGCAGAGGAAGAACAGCAGGAGCTTCCTGAGAGGTTTTACAGCAAGAGCTGCATCCAGAACTTGGCTAACGTCTCCCCATGAGTGCCTGTTCTATTCCAAGGAGTATGGATAAGATCCAGTCGAGGGAAGCAGATGTTTTTAATCATAGAATGGACCTTATCTAGAGCCCAGCCTTCACAGCCACTGGAGTCCAGCTCAAGTTTACATTATGCTAAGATATATTCCCAGACTCAGTTCCAGGTGGCCACTGAAATGTAGGTCTCTTTTTTACTAGGAGATTACTCACAGAATGCACGATGCTTTTGCTCTTGTTTGACATTCATCCGAACTTTCCTACTTGGTATCCTAGACACTTGGGTTAGTTACAGTAGACAGGCAATCAAAAAGCAGAACTGAGAATGAGCTGATAAAAATGGCCAATTTACAGAAGTAAGACTTTTTCAATAAAATCAGATGGCTAAGATAGAATTTTCCATTAAAGAAAAACATCATAGAAATTGGGTAACTGTGTGCAGCTGAGCAGGATTCATCTCACTTGATTTTAGTAGTCAGCAAATGAGGTCTCTAACCTGGACAATCCTCCAGGCTCTTTGCTGAGCCAATGTCACAGGCATCTCACTGGGATAATACAGCCCATCTGTTCCAGGTACCTTTTGGGGAATGAAATGGCTCACCTCCTAACTAGCATATGGCAAACATCACCTCAGGGTAACATGTATGAGCATCAGCATGGACCCAGAAAGAAGCAACAAGTATGATCAAAGTAAGCAGTCAAAGTCCCTGTGATGAACACAGACAACATTCAGACTTAGTTTTCAGAGGTCTCCAAAGGCACAGGCTCAGTGAAAAACCAGCATGATGTACCCAGTAGAAAACTGGTCTGGCCCAAAGATAAAGCTGGAAGCAAAGCTGGTAACAGGAAAAGGTGGACTAATGTAGCTTAAACTAAAACCATGGCTGGATAAGACTAATCAGAAACCACAGCCAGACACCTTCAAGTTAGCAGTTAAATGCTTGAAGGTCATGGTAAGTAGCTGCTACAACAAACTAGTAGGAAACGTACACTGCTTAGTGTCAACCACTTAGAACTAAATGGATTCAAACAGACTGGCTTCCTTTGCAGAATAACTCAGGCTATAAGAGACATTGCTTTGACCTCACATTTTCTGAATCTATGACAGGAGGTTGATTTCCATGGCTGGACTAGAAAAGCTGAGTAAGAAAAGGTATCCTCTGATATATGCAATTTCAATAAAGACATAAAAACCTGTCTACAATGCTTCAAGGAAATAAGAACAAGACCTACTGTAAATTAAAACATGGCCAGTATTAACTGCATGGAAGTTGCAAGTAAAGATCAAGTCAGTGTGTTTCCATACACCCTTTGAATATTATTTATTTCAGTAAGTGCTGTCCAGTATTCGTTCTACTCCCAGAGTTTTCTAACAGCTTCTAAAAGCTCTCCAAGCAATGAATTTAGAGGAGATGACATTCTCATTTAAGTTGGAGACCTGAAAAGGATATATGGAAAATCATTAGGTTTTGCAGCAGACCAAAGAAAGAAATCTATGGTTGAACTTACAAAAACAATACTAAATGATGCTACTAACAGAAGTGATCCATAATGGATGCAGGCTGAGTAAAAATGACTTAATTGCTGATCTAGGGAAAAGAAAAACAATAGCTGAAGTGTTCACTCCACACAGCAAAGCAGATAGAAAGAGATGTATAGGGCTGATAAACTGATTTGGCAAAATTCATTCCAAATCTATACCTGATCAATAAATCCTTGTGGAAATTGTTGGAATATGAGGCTGCTGGCATTCAGTAAAAAGACATTAATAGACATCGAAGCAGTTAAAATCATTTAACAAGAGAGTTTAAAAACGCTATGACATGACTAAGTTGGTTGCATTGGAAGTACTGCTCCATACCAGCACAAAGTACCTGTCAGACTTTCAAAGTCATTTCCAATAGTACATCTTGTCTGAGCTTAATACAGTGCTGGGGATGGCATGGAAGGGTGCTGACTCGGCACGCAGGCATCTCCGTGCCTGCCAGTGTCTTTGGCCTCTTTCGCAGTAAGAAATAAGAAGGAGAAGAAACTCCAGGGTATGAGTTTCCCAGGAAGCTGGACAACGTAGGTGGAAAAGTCCTTCTAAACGCAAGCAGTAGTTCTGCTTCCAGCTCTTTTGGGAACCTCACGAGTTCTCAAACTTGGAATCCCAAACATAGCTTCTGTTTCAAATTGTTCCTTGGCTATTCCCTGTTTGCCACACCTCAAACTACTGGAAAAATACCCCTCCAATGAAGAGCTGAAATGGTGAATGCTGAATAAAGTGGAAAGCTAACCCCTCCAGAGTCTCATCACCACCACTGAATCATCCTGACCAAGAAAGAAAGTTGTTGGGGAACGATCACAAGGAGAGGCTTCATTTGAGCTTTTGGGACATCAGCAGATAGTGGGGTGAATATTTATCTTTCTAAAGAGCAACAGGGAAAAAAAAAGTACATTCCCTTTGCAGTTGCCAGTGATAATGGATGCTGTGTGAGCTAAAACCCCAGCAGTTAAAAGCTACATTTATTATCACTCTATCTCACACCAGCAAATTTATGATCCCTTCCAGACCTAAAACATCAAAGCAGAGCAGGAGTCAGAGCCTTTTCAGACTGCTGAGGGTTTTTTTTTTTCCCCTTCTTCTTTTCACATAGATTGCTTTATTTATTTTTTAAAAGGAGGTGGGCATTAAAACCAAAATCTGACCTTTGATCCCCTGAGGCAACTCATTACTTACAGGGGCAAATAGGGAGCTGAAAGTTTTTCCTGCATGAAACCGTAAATAATTCTTCCCTACATCCACAAATCACTCGAGGTTGGTAAAGTAAATAGTAATTGGTGGGTTTCTCCCTAGGGGCAGGTCTGAAGGGGGTTGTAGATTAGAGTTAGGGAGGGTTTTTTTGTTTAAGAAAACCCCTTCAAAAACCATGTTCCCCTCAATGCTCCAGATGCTCAGGTAAAGGGGAAGTTTGGAGATGTGTGTATGGTGGGGCTGTGAGGAGGGGAAGGGTTTGCTGCTTTTCTTAGGTTTAGCAGTTTCTTGTGTTGGAATTGAAGAGATTGACAACTTTAGGGCAAAGGGGAGTATTAAAAATGTTAAATGCCCCATATACACAACAGCCTTTTCTGTGTATTACCAACAAGGTCTAAAGAAGGGACCTTCACACCTCCTCCCGTAGCTCCACTGGTTAGTTGGAAGAGTAGTGGGCTATTGCATCCCTGCTCTGCTTTTGTAATGTGTTACTACAGTTACACATGATGCACATAGAGCACACGTTATCAAATTCCACCGTTAGATAAATTTTACCCTAAACACATGAACTCAACCCAAGTTCAAATGCCTTTTCAACCATCACTGTTTCAACTGTGATCAAAATTACTTTGTTCAATAACTGTCATACATAAATACCTAAATAAAAGGAAAATATCCATGCTTATAACTGGATGAATACAGTAGTTAGAGCAGACCAGCTAGAGAAAGAACACTAATATTATCAACACTAGTTGCAATCTCCCCTCGCTGGACCAATGGGACCTGCCTGTCATCAAACCAGGACTGGCCAGTGATGCACTGTCACAGCCCAGTGATTCTCCCTGCTGGAAAATGATTTAAGAGCTTGCTGATAGCATGCCAAAGAACAGCCATCAAATGCAGACACAGTAACTCCAGAAAAAGGGATGTGTAACTGTTATGCTTTGATGAGAAAGGTCAGAGTCACTAGGGTAGAGAGAAAACGGAATGGAAAACTGGAGGTTTATAAATGTGACTGACACATCTCTACCTGCATGGAATGAATACAGCCAAACACTGTTATTTGCAAGGAGAAAACTGGTCCCAAGCCTGGTTCTATTTCCAAGAAAAACAACAGGTCATAAATCTGTATTTAATAATTGAAACAAATGGCCTGACTTGCAGCCAGGCTGAGCACAACGCTCTGAAGAAACCTAAGTATTGATTAAGACATGGGATTTTTCTACCTGGCCTCTGACTCCTTTGAAACTTCCAAAGTCCAGTGCTAAAGCCACCGGGAGTTTTATCTCAGACACTATTAGGTTTGAAGTTCCTTACGTTTACCTTTCAGCCTCCTCAGTCCCAAGATCTAAGGCCAGCACGTGCCAAAGAAACCACCACAGGCTCTGCTGAGGACCCAGAAGATATTACAGTAAAACATGCAGGAGTTGCACTAACCTTCTTCCAAATGCAGCCTCTGCTCTTCTATACCCTATAGCAGACATAACTGGTATATAAAACTGCTGTAACCTGCACTACTGAAGATCAGAGGATTGGGAACACTTGAAGTTTCACCTCTCTGACCTGCAGCTTTCCTTCAACAAGATTTTCATCCTGGGGTGGGGATGGCACAGCCAGACACAAGGCTGGTCCTGAGTGGCTGCACTTTACATAGAGAATTACTAAGGTAAAACAAGCCAAGCATGGGTTTCCTTTTAATAAACCAGGTTAAAAAATACCATCCATTCAGGGTGTGCTTCACAAGGAGCTCAGTCATTCCTCCTGAAGTCATGGCAATCCAGGCCTTTATTTCTTAAGTATATAACAATAAAGTGATTTATTTTCAATCTCCCAGCGAATCAGGAAATTGTTGCTATTCCCAGACAGGGAACAGAGACAAAGGAAGATTAAACACCCAAATATCACACTAGAAGCCTTTGGCAGAGTAGGAAACTAAACTCACCCCTCCTTTCTGAAACGTAGCTCGGCTTCATACACATCAGACCATCATTCCAACCCTCACGTGATGTGTAGACACATACGCCTTCTGCAGGGCTCCAAAGCACAAAGGCAGCAGCTAGTAAAAGATTCCTGCTGGCCCAGACTCAGATCCTGTCTGGACTGAAGGAACAGGTTTCTGGTTTCAAAAGGAGCTGGGCTGAAGTTGCTTTCCTTCACTTGCAACCTTTTTAACAAAACAGAGATTTTTCCCCAGCAAATAAAGCCATAAATCAGGACATCTCCTGAGGTTCTATTTTTTTCCCCTAGTTAGTGTGCCCTCCCTCCCCTTTCCATCCCTCCAGACTTACTTCATAAACATTAGCTTTCAAGCATCTCTCCCCCCAGAGGACATATCATAAACATCATGTTAAATATTTAGAACAGGAAACCACCTCACTTTTCTAGCTACATAAAAGCTACCTTGGGAGGGTGCATTTTCTGTCCTTATGTCTTTTATTTATTTATTTCTTAGTGCAAATCATCTCAATAATCAGTGCATTTGCCAGGGACATTTGACAAGTGTTAAGAAGCCCCCTTGTACCTGGGCAAAGGAAAACGCTACTGGACACTTTGGGGAGAGTTAGTGCATCCCGCAAGCATCCTGCTCCTTGTGGGACTTCCACACGCTTTGGATAGGCACTGGTGTACAGAGCTCAGAAAAGGAGCTCAACTAGAACCAACTAGGGCCACTTTGCAGCACTCCCAGCATCCACTTAAATGTCCCGCTTCCAGCTTGCTTACCTCAACTGTCCTGAGGGTCCTCAGGAACCACTAAGTTAACATGTAGTGAAGATGTTTAACAGCAACCAAGCATTAAACACCACCAAGAACCCCTTGTGCTCAGCTGTAAACCCTGGAAGTTCCAGGCTTGATTCAATGCTAGCAGGACTCAAAGGTGCATGGCACAAGAACCTTTTGATGACTCTCCTGTGTCCTCACCTTGTCTGCATTTATTTATTAGACCCAGTGCAAAGCGTTCAGTCCCAGTTTCAGGCTGTCCCTTCCTCACCTGCACGGCTCCTCTGTCCTCCTCACCTGTCACACATACAGGACTAGGGCCACTTTGAACACTCCCTCAAACACAATAACCTGTAAGCATTTACAGGGCTGTTTTCCCATTCCTTCCTTCAGAATTCATACACTGACTCCTCTAGCACACAAATCCATCCCCAGAAAAATCTCTCCTTTCCACACTCTTCATTAATCTTGTGTCTATTTTGTATGTATGCCCATCAAGTGCTGGCCTCTTAATCTCTCCATGCTGCATATTGCTCATCTAAACTACATCTACGGAACTCAAACCCTTTCCTGATAAGTTGGTCTCTGTAGATCTTTAACATTAATTTACTTTCTTCTAAGTTTCCAAATATTTGATAAGAGGCTGTCCAAAACAGGATGCAACAGTCCAAGTTGTTATCTAAAGCACCAAAGCCATGGAGAAAAGAAAGCAAAAATCAGGCCTGCAGCCCCCAAATTACCTTTTTCTTCCATCACACATTGCAAGGTCACAGTAATTCACTCCACACCATCAGCCCCATCATTCTGCCTGGTTGAAACTCAGCTCAGCTTCAGGGGAAGGCAGTGAAACAGTTTGGCAACCCATAATGTCCTGCTTCAGTCCTATTTGGAAGATTGAAAAGGTGCAAAGGGCTTCATGGTGGCTTTTCAGACATGGACAAATCTCACCCATTGTACATAGGTGAATCAAATTTGCAGTGATGCAAACTGGAAATCCTTGCCAAGTATGCATGCAAGAGCAAGAAAAACAAAGATCATAAAGATTTATAGATTGCTTTAAAATGCATTCACCCTAAACCATGAGCGGCTCCTAAAAGCACTACCAACCTGGCTGAAACGTTGTATGTACATGAAGGACTCATTCTGCTGGAACGATTGCTTGAGTGAAGATCAACAGAACTAATGAGCTAAAAACTGCAGGTTATTAGTTCAGTACCTCAGAACAACAATAAAATTAGAAGGTTTATGTCTTTGATTTCTATGTTTAAACCAAAGAAGGGTTACTAAGGACCTATGGGACCACAGTGGTCCACTTCTGTGCACTGATGTGTAACACATCCCACTGAATTATATCAGCTCGTTTCTGAGTGCCACAATTCTGGCTGCTTTGAAATAGATCACTTCAGAAAGAGAAACCCAGTAGTGTAAAACTTCAACTGTGCAGGGGCCTAGGTCCTCATGCAGACTGGAACCTGAGTATCCAAACTCCAAGCTGGCAAACAGCTAAAAAACCACGTCACAAGAACAAACTCCCTTGCCACAGTCCTAGTGCTCCCTGCTTTTAGTCAGGATAAAACCAAGGAGAAATAACAACTTCTACAGCATTAAAAGCATGTCCACTTCTACCAAGCCTGAAGTGGGATCATGAATAGAAGTGTGCGAGACTAAACCGGGCAAACATCAAAAACTAACAACAGATCATATTTTGTGATCATTTTGTTTCAGGCAGGAAGGCTGAGGCTGGTTCTAATTTGAATCTAACCAGTTGGCCAGGCCCTACCTTATATATTATCTTTGGAATGTGAGTCATTTTGTTGGCTTAGTTATTTCGTCTTCTGTAACATGGCACTCCTGACTGCAGTGGTATGTGGGAGCTATTTTTATTGGGTAGTAGTGAAAGGAAGTGATGGATAGAGCTGGTTGGGAACATTTCAACAAAACATTTTTTCATTCAAATTTCCTACTCGCTCCGATGTGAAGTTGTTCACACCGAGATGGCTGCTTCCAGCGAAGCTTTTTCTTTCAAATACCAAAACCTAAAGGATTACATTCAAAGCGGCCCATTCTAGTGTTTCTAAAGAGAAAAGTTCAACTGGCCAAATCATTTTGCTTGGAAATCAAAAGAGAAAAACCAAGTCAAAATGTTACTGGAGAAAGACCAGCCAGGCCTGATGAAGGAGCCATTCAAAGCAAAGCCATCTCTGGCCCTGCAGAAGTATGCACTTTGGATTTTAAGCTCTTACAAGTTTCATCTCGGTTCAGAACAGTAGCTCCCTTTTTTACGGCCTCTTCAAGAACTTCAGGAACATCCAAACCTTTGTATTATTGATATTTTGGCAGAACAAGCAGCACACTGTATGAGCAAGAGCTTGGGAAGGCACGATCCTTGAAATACTTGTCGGTCAGGGTCATGTTGGTACTGTAGCAAGCAGTCCCTACGTGATGTGGTGTGGTCAAACAGAGATGGTAAACCACATGTTGGAAACCTACCAGTCCCAGGTGCCCACAAAAGCCAAAAATTAAAAGGGTGTATCCTCAATGGATGACCAGCCACTCCTGAGACCCTGCCTTTCCCTATGGGGTTTTCCTAACAGCTTTCAAAAGCACGGCCAGCTACAACTTAAGCAAAGCTGGGCAGTGATCTAGGAAACTCTTCTATTATAGATGAGCACCAATAAACAGCCAGTGATTTGCTGGAAATTATGAAGTATAAATAATTGAGAAGCAGGGAGTTGGCCCAGAGGTACCCTTCTCTCTTGCTGATTCCTCTTAATGCATTTCCTTGATGCAACTCCCTGCTGTGTACCTAGCACTGTAGGGAGCAGCAGGATAATGGCCCTTGAAGAATCTGCTGACCTGCTTCTACATGGAGTTACAAATATGAACACCTACCAAACCAAAAGGTGCACCTAAGGGAACAGGGTTAACCCAGTGAGCCCAATTGTCACCCTATCTCCAGTATGGAAGTCAGTATTCACCTGAGTTACATAGGGGTTCTCCAGCTCTGGTGGACTGTGGTGCCTGGCAGCAGCTTGAGTGAAAGAACTTCGGTATGTATTTGCTGCTGCTTTTTCATGGTGTCATTAAAGAGGAGATTCAACCAGTGTACCACTTCCATGGGCTGATGCTCAGCTGTCCTGTGAGACAAGAGTGTTAACTTCAGCCGTCCTGATCTTCCAGCTTTGACAGATATGGTCTACAATGGCTTCTCAAGGAGATGAGTCCCAGTACGAGGGAAGCAAGCCTTTCCTAGGGGCACAACTCTTGGGCAGGGCATGAAACAAACCCAAAAGGCCTGGTCTGCAGCTCTGCAGGAGCTGAAGACAGCAGCACTGCAGAGAAGTTACATCCCAGATGAACAGGGCTTCAGCCAGAGGTTCTCCCTCAGTGCAAGGGGAAAGGACCCCAAAGGATACTCATAAAGAATCAAGAGCACCTCCCCATGCTCAGCCATGGGCAGTTCTAAGGGAATATTCTCATTATTGCCCATCAGTTTACATCTGTCTCACACCTTGATGCTAATGAACTTCTAATCTGCGTAATAAAACTGTGGATGCTGTCACAAGCCATATAAAACGTTTCGTAATACAAAAATGAAAGTCTCCCTGATTACTTGTTGTAAACCAGTAACAAAGCACTGGGTTCATAATTGCCTTTGCTTTCATGAGCTTTAAATGTGCCACCCTTAACTTCAGTGAAAATCCTTCGGCTCTTGCAGTGCAAAAAGAAACAACTGACTTACCTCAGGTGTGAAAGATGGGAACAGGAAAAACAGACAGTGGAAACCTTAAAAGAAGGCGCTTCATCAGGAGAAGTTTCTGGTAAGACTTTCAAAGCTGCTAAGGAAAGTGGGAATTAAAGCATGGAATGAGTCAGACCTAGCTTAGGCTAAAACCTGAGGCTAATTCCCATGTATTTTCTTTATAGCCTTGGTAAATGAGCAATTTACCTTGTTAAACATCTAAGACCAGGCCTATTAAGTGCCCTCTGGAAGTGTGCGACTGTTGTCACACCACAGTGCTCAGACTTTGACTTCCACATTTGGACAGGCAAAGGAAGGAGATCAGGCTGACTGTCTTAAGATACTTTTGCAGTTCTAGTGTAACAGATGGGTCACCGTGATCCTGTGCTCCTCCTTTGGTGTCCAGAAAACTCACATGCACTGGGAAAAGGAAGAAAAACGGGAATAAAGAAGAAAAGAGAGAGGAAATACAACCCCAAACCAAAGGTAGTGGGAGGGAGAAGGCTGGGGATGGCAACCGCTGCTTTGTTTATGACACTCAGGTCCACATAAAGCCAACCCTTTTTCACTAGGAAAAGCTCAGAGATATGAGGTTTTCTAGGGATTCCTTAATGCAGCAGCACGAGGCTGGCATGGATTTCAGATGAGGTATTTCACCTGTTCTTCTAACAGGCTTAGTTCATACCAAAC